GACGTAGAACGACGGTAGTGAGGTGTCGGTGCGTAGAAACAGCGACGGGTCAGCAGTAGAAGGCGCGAACCCAAGAGCCGCAAGCGTAGTCCTCAGTGTGTCGTGCCACTCACGTGGCGCCTGGCGGAGACCGTAGACTGGCCATCGGAGGCTCCACTGGGTACCAGGAGGGAACGACCCAGTAAAGCCAGGTGGACGGCGCAGCCAGATCTCCTCGTGCAGGCTGCCCTGCAGGAAAGCAGTGCTGAAGTCAAGCGAGTGGAGCTCGTAGTCACGCTGAGCGGCGACGTGCAGCAGAACCCGAAGAGTGGTCATCTTCGGGGTCGGGGAGAAGGTCTGGAAGAAGTCAACTCCCTCTCGCTGACTGAAGCCTCGTGCAACGTAACGCGCCTTGAAGACAGGCGGAGAGCCCGGCGGCCGCTTCACCCTGAAAATCCACATGCCACTGACGATGTTCGCCCCAGGTGGGGGAACCTCGTCGACGTAGGTGCCTGTGGACTTCCAGGAAGCCATCTCTGTGTCCATGGCTGACTGCCACTGTGAGGAGTAGGGACCGGCCATCGCCTCTGCGTAAGAGCGTGGGGTCGGGATGTCTGGTGCATCCGGGTCTCCCTCAGGGGCAACAAGCATGGACACGAGATGGGGCAAAGCGGCAGCAAAGCACTCAAACTCCTCCTGCCTGTCCTCAAGGACGTCAGTGCCAAGAGCACACTCACCCCCGACGGACGGAGGACAGACAGACTCAGACTCAGCAACTAGGCTAGCAGCGTAGTCTAGGCGACAGCGAGCAGCAAAGTCGACAAGCTCAGCAACTAAGGCAGACGCAACAGCAGACTCAAAGGAAGGGTCAGTGACAACAGTAGCCAGGAGACGCGTGACAGTAGGACTGGTAGCACGAAGAGAGTCTGACCCAGGGTCAGCAAGAGCAGGAAGAGAGGAAGCAGGAGGAGACGGCAGTGGGACACGCTGTGGAGCAGTGGACGGACGAAGCGCCATCCGGTGAGTGCCTGGGACATCAGGAAGACGCTGACGCTGGACTCGACTACTAGAGAAAGCAGTGCGGACAGGCGACTCAGGACGAGACTCAGGCGACGCAGGACGAGACGCAGGCTCACGCCGCTCAGTAAGACCTCCAGTCGGACCAGTGTAAGGAGCAGGACCAGGGAGAGAGGAGGCAGACGGTAGCTGCGACTGCAGCTGGACAGGCGGAGGACACGCTAAGGAGGGAGGAGGAAAAGGAGGAGGAAGCTGACCAAGAACCTGCTGAAGGAGCGGAACAAAGTACGGCCGAGACCGAGCAGCGACACCAGAGCCAGCAGGGACACCCGCACCAGGGTCCGCAGCACCAGCAGCAGCTCCAGCGCCCACGTCCTCAGCACCAGCGGCAGCTCCAACGCCCGGGTCCTCAGCACTAGTAGCAGCTCCAACGCCCGGGTCCGCAGCACCAGCGGCAGCTCCAACGCCCGGGTCCTCAGCACCAGCAGCGGCTCCAACGCCCGGGTCCTCAGCACCAGCAGCGGAGTGAAAACGCTCGCTGAGCTGGAGACGGGCTCTGCGGATCCAAGGGATCAAGACATCAGGGACCTCACCCTTGGTGCGCAAGGGGAAGACCGAGGTGTAGCGCGAGTAGTCGTCAACAACTATCAGGAAGTACCTCTCCTGACCCTGACCACGGACGCGGGCTGGGCCCCACACGTCCATGTGGAGTGTCTGCAAGGGAGCAGTCGTCGGGGGGAACGAGGAGGAGTGAGGAGCGGCGCGCTGCCGTCCCTCGACACAGGGGAGACAAGTAGGAGCAGGCGAGGGTGGGAGGGCAGGAAGGACCCTGGGCAGGCCAGAGACAAGGTACCGGGAGTGCATGGCACGAAGCCGCTGCACAGACGGGTGGCCAAGGCGGTGGTGCCAGAGGACAGTCTCGTGTGCCAAAGAGCGACACGAGCAGGGGGCGGACAGCTGACCTGACGCGGACGCGGACGCAGTCGCAGCAACCTGAGGGGACTCAGTAGTCAGTGTGTACAGGTCCGACCCCGGCTGCCGAGTGAAGGTAGCCAAGTGACGGCCCGTACGAGCACACGTGCAGTGTGTCACGCGCTCGTAGGCAGGGGTGAACTGGTGAACACCCCCGTCCTAGAGTGCACATCCTGCCACCAAGTTCGTAGAGAACGAGGGGAGGTGGAGACCTGACAGTGTGCCCGACGGGACCGCAGGGCAGGGAAGGACAGTGGAGGAGGTCGCAATGTCCGGACCCCCAGAGGGGTCAGCAAGGGAGACAGCAACTGGCCGAGCAAGCGGCTCAAGGGCAGTGCGGTCACGAAAGAAGCAGCGAGAAGCACCTGAGTCGAGTGTGAAGGTGTGCAGTGCGGCAGTCGACGCAGTACCAAGGGGGGGAGACACACGAGCACCTAGAGCAGCAGCCTCACCAGCACCTGGGGTAGCCGACACGCGAGTACCTGGAGCGGCAGACGCACTGGCCCTAATGCCCGGGTCGGGCGGCACACACAAGTACTCAGCACCCTCTCCACTAGTAGACATCACATACATGGCAGATAGAATAGCATCAAAGTCTAGAGCATAGATATCAATCCCCTTCTTCAGGAGATCAAGCCAGCGGGGCAGCTCAGTGGCCTGAGGGAACTGAACACGCCAAGCGTCGTCGAGACGAGAGAAGCAGCGCTGTGTGGCGTGCGGTCGTCCACACTGCTGACCAGTGCGGTCACCAGTGCGAATGACGTACGTGCAGCTAAGACCACCCCCACCCCCGTGCTGAGAGTACCACTCACGGACCTCCTGGGGCGAGGGAGTGTGCTGCTGGCCCTGGCCACCGCCAGTGCCTCCACGGCCACCACCACCGCTGCCACCTCCTCGACCACCCCGACCCCTGCCGCCGCCTCGTCCACCGCCACCCCAACCGCCGCCTCCACTCCTGCCACCTCCCCCGCCGCTGCCGCCACCACCCCCACCGCTACCACTCGCCCCTCCAGCCGAGCCACCACCCCCACTGCCTCCACCGCCCCCACCGCCGCCTCCCCCGCCGTCACCGCCACCACCCTTGCCCCCTTTGCCCTTGCCGCTGCGGCGTCCGCTCGAGGCAGACGCAGCGCCGACCTTCTCAGTACCAAGAAGGTCGACAGCAGCAGCAGAGGCGACAGAGGGAAGAAGGGGGGAAGGAGAACACCCCTCAAAGAACGGGGTACGGGGGTCGCCACGAGAGGCACCTACAGCGACTATGCTAGTCTCAGCTGCAAGTAGCTCCTTCTCGAGGAGGGCAATGGTGAGCTCAGTGGGGCAACGAGCTAGGAAGTGGTCCCTGACAGCACGCAGTGTGTCAGGGAGGCGGGTGACTAGGTGGTAGAGAGTGAGCCAGAGTGGAGGGGGGTGCGTGGGAAGGAACTCAGCAGGCATGGCGGCACGGAAGCGGGCCTCACTAGTACGGAGGTGCGTGATGAGGTCAGCGACTATGTGAAAGGAGGCCAGGTCGGGAAACAGGTAGGGGAGGGAGAGACGGCCTAGTGCGGCAGAGGCAGGTGAGGAGTAGCGAGCAACTACAGCTGTGTACAGTGCCTGTGCAGTCTTGTGCTGACCAAAGTGCTCGTGTTCGTCTATCGGCAGGGAGTTGCGAATGGCGAAGCGAGCGTGGGCATCACGAGTCTGCCACTGTGAGCGAGCAGTGCTGTCAGCAGTAGCAGCAGGGGCAGTGACATGGCCTAGGGCGTGATCGTACAGTGAGATGTCATCCTTGGCTGTGAGCTGTAGGTAGAGGTGCAGGTCATCGAGCCAGGTGTCAAACTTCACAGGGCGGCCCTCAGCATCGAACACGAGAACCTGTGGGCTAGCCATAGGAACAGTAGAAATAGCAGCAGTAGCAGTAAGAGAAGCAGGTAGGACGAACCAGGTAGGGCAGGGCGGCGCGGCTCGGTTCAGGGTGGCGCGGCTCGGTTCAGGGCGCGCGGCTCGGCTCGGGGCGCGCGGCTCGGGTCGCGCGGCTCGGGTCACGGCGGGGACGGGCCGCCCGCTCTCCCTCGTGTGCTGCGGCGGGAACGGGCCGCTCGGGGCCTCTAGGTGGTGGGCACGGGTCGGCGAGGTCGGCACGGGGCCGGTTGGGGCCCTAGAGGGGCGAGCGCGGGGCCGATCGGGGCCTGAGCGGGGCTAGCGCGGGGCCAAACGGGGCCTTGACGGGGCTAGCAAGGGGCCGACGGGGCCTGAACGGGGCTAGCGCGGGGCCGACGGGGCCTGAAACGGGGCCGACGGGGCCTGAAACGGGGCTAGCGCGGGCCGATGGGGCCTGAGAGGGGCTAGCGCGGGGCCGATGGGGCCTGAAACGGGGCCAACGGGGCCTGAAACGGGGCTAGCGCGGGCCGACGGGGCCTGAGAGGGGCTAGCGCGGGGCCGACGGGGCCTGAAACGGGGCCGACGGGGCCTGAATCGGGGCTAGCGCGGGCCGACGGGGCCTGAGAGGGGCTAGCGCGGGGCCGACGGGGCCTGAAACGGGGCCGACGGGGCCTGAAAGGGGCTAGCGCGGGGCCTGAACGGGGCCTTAAAGGGGCCGACGGGGCCTGAACGGGGCCGCTAGGGAGAGCGGGCGTGGGGCCGACGGGGCCTGAACGGGGCTAGCGCGGGGCCGTCAAGAGGGGCCTCTAGGGGCGTGACACGCCGAGGCGCCCTAGGGCACAGGTAGGTAGGTAGGTAGGTAGTTACGTAGTGGTGGGCCCTTAGAAAATTTCGGTCCTAGGAAGGACCTGCTCTATACCATGTTGGAATCACTGAACAGGAATGAATGAACTAGCAGTGAAATGAGTACAAGTACCTAACCCTAGAATTGTGTACCCCCTATAGGCTAACCCACTGTAGCCTAAACTAACACAACATATATAATGTTTGACAGGCTCACGATTTCGTCGGTTTCGACGACAACCAGCCCACTTGCGGAGCCGGGTTATGATCCGCTCGCAGCGGAGCCGGTGCAGGCCCCTTCGCACGATACGTGGGCGCCTCCCTCGACCATGCAGGAGGTTTACGATGACGCCGACCGTGCGTCCCGCGAAGCGAGGCGCACTGCTCGCGCGGCATGCGAGATGCTCATCGGTTACGCCAAGGCGACCTGCACCACCCCGCGGGACTTGTGCGCCATCTTCGACATCCGCAACCCGATCATCCGGGCGCGGATGGAGCGCGCCAGCCCGCCGCTGAACCTCTACGCGACCCCGCCCCCCGCCATGACGACTGCCTCCACCCCGGAGGCAGAGACCCCCCGTCCCCGTGGTAGGGTCCTCCCGGCGTGGATGACGGTGCCTACGGCTAACTGGGTGGCACAGACTGCTCGCCGCCAGGAGCTCATCGAGGCGGGTTTCCCGGCCGTCATGACCGGCTACGTCGCCGCCGCAGAATGGATGCGGCTGTGAGGCAATTTGTGCCTCTCGCGAGGTGGTGAGAGACTGGCTCCTCCCCTCTTTGTGCACGACTTGTGCACAATTTGATGTTGTGAATGTGTTCTCACGTGATGTCAGGCAGGTGCACAGGTGGGGTGTTGTGATTGGCAGGGTATTTGGATGTACTTGTTTGTGACAAGGGGAGTTGGGAAATGTAATCGGGTCTGATAGTGAATGTGCGAAAAATGGGTAACCGTGTGGTTACACAAACAACAAAGGTTGCAAACCGGCACTATTGGGCTAAAAACAAACCTGTTACCCGTGGCGAAACTGTGCGAACCCGTCGAAGTGACGGAATCGTTTATAAGCCCGGGAGACCTGCCAAAGTTGGGAGACTCTAGCGAGCATCAGCTGTACCATCGAATAGGGTTACCAGACTAATTTGCATGTCTATGATGTTGGCCCCCTATGGCTTTGTCACAGACAGGCTGGCTTGCCCCACAAACAGCCAGCGCTGATTCTTAACCTTGGGAGGATTGTCTCCATAGCTGATTTCCTTCCCACTGGTTGAGAGATCCTGTCGTTGTTGATTGGTCATGTCAGTGAGGTGACTCGCAAATAGCGGCTGGGCAGAAGCGGAATGCGGTTGCTTGCAGCTCCACATATGTTGTAATCGACCTAAAGGCCCTGTTCGGGAGCAAGAGAGGAAGAGCAGAACCAGATCCAGAGGATCAATTTTACTAGGCTCGGAAGCCCAAAAATTGCCTGCGACCCCGTCGCGATCACTTTCGGTTCCAAACCTCCCGGTTTGGAACCTTCAACCTCATCTTCTCCTCTGCAGCGGCTCGAGATTCCGAGGCGCTGCCCTTACAGTCCATTGACTGCACAGTTGGCTCACTTCACCTCCCATGCTCTGGCGAGGAGAAAGCGAGGCTCAGAACTCGAGAAAATTGGATGGGCATCTCTGTTTCATCAGCGAGATTACCCAGGGCAGACATTGTACAAGCAAAACTGTACCAGACATATTCATGTTGAGTTATATTATTGATGGTGGTTTTTTTTTTTTTGTGGTGCGTGGGCTGCTTCGGTTTGGAAAATACGTTTTGGACGGTGCGGAAATGTGAAGTTGATAGTTTCGATGAGATGGTAGCTGTGATTTGGCAACTTGACCCCCGGCTTGCGGTGGTTGTCGTTCTTGATCAAATTGGGGCGTTGAGTATGCACATGTCTGTCATTTTCTCCAGCTGGCGAATCTGATTGCGCAGCTGTTGCAACTGTTCAATCATGCAGCTGGTGTGTTGTCGTTATTATTCTTCAGGTTCGTTACAGAGCAGCTTGCCTACCCTCTGTTGAGGGGCTCCCGAACAGGGCCTAGATCAAGTACAACTGATGCCCAGCCAGTGCACGCGAATTTGCCTTGTGCCGGATGGAAACGCTGCACCCGAGGTTGTTTCCCCAGCCTGTTGCTCCCACGTTATAAGCGCGTCGCGTGGTTATCAACCAATAGTAACGAACAGACCGAGGTCAAGCAGCCAAGAGTCAAATAAGGTAACAGATCTTGTTTATAAGCACCTGCGAATCCTTTCTAGCTAGCTGCGAATTGACGAAACTTATGCGAAATGTTGTTAAAGCTTATACGCCCCCTCCACAAGGCGACCGGGAGGGGCTCAAACAGGCATCAATTGTACTCGATGGTGGAGCTCCACAGATTTCCACGTTTTGTCAAGCAGCTCGTTGACAACTCGGTATTGATGTGCTCCAAAGCTGCCTATTCACGTGTAGGTCCGGTGCATCAGACTGCTTCACGCGCACTTAGGTTTCCAGATAATTGTCCAGACGGCTAAACAATTGCTGATGTTGATACTCGACCATTTCTAGGTTTCTCCAGACGTAAATAATAAATACTGCATTCTTTCTTGTGTACGCTGCTATCGCAATGACGGCACATGCGATAACGTCGGCGACTCCAGCATCAGCGAGCACACATGTGCCTTGTTCCGAGTCTCTCCATGCTGAGCGACCTGAAGAAAGCATTTTGAGGTGCATCGGGAGTCCAGCATCAGAGAGCAAAGATGACTCGTATTCCGAGCCCTTCCATAATATGCGACCTCCGTCCTTGGAGCTTCTCTCGGCCGACCTGTGGGAACTGGCGGAAGAGGCAGACGCTGCAGCTACGCCGACGTCTGTCGACCAGAAAGCGGAAACGAATGGCGAAAAGTCAACCAGCCGGTTCTGGTTTCGTCCACGCAAGAAGAACAGCGAGACGGCCTTCTCGTTCCCTCGATCCAGATCGACGAGCTGCCACGATCCTGCGGGTATCAAGCGAAGCGAGGACCTTTATAGCGATATTTTCGAGCCGAGCAAGAGCACGAGGAGCAAGACCCTTGTTCCGAACATGAAACTGCTAGAGATCCCTGGCGACGAGGACGATACGGCGTATGAAGATATCGTGTGGGGAACGACTGGTAAAGGCGTTTCGGACGGAGCTCAGCGGTTCGTGAATAGGGTGAACGTCTCTAAATCTTCTGAAGACGAATCGGTTTCTTCTGTACGTATGTTTCCTGAGCGTCAGCGGACGTCCAACCTACCACCTTCACCGTCATTTATGAGACTGCGTAGCTTCGCTAAAAAACGTACAGGAGTAGAAGCATCAATCTCTTTCCGGATCTCGCCAATTTCGCCTGGATCCGCGATTTCGGGGACTCCGAAGCACGTGTCCAGCAGTGAGCTGCGTGGTGTCAGCACTGAGGGAGCCGAGTCAGCAGCTGCTCCTTGCAGGCAGCGAGACAGACGGAAATGGAAAAGCTTTGATGATCTTTCTGGATGGATGGATGGCAGCGGGGTCCAGGGTATTGCCGATAACGTGGAGTCGGATTTGCAGGCAAGCATGCGGGCTTGTGTGCCTGCCAGAGAGCTGACCGTGATGGAGGAAGAGGAAGGCGAAATCACCCCTTCAACGCCTGTGACATTGCCAGCACGGAGGGGTTTCTCCACTCCACGGAGCAGACAGAGAAGTGGTAGTATAGACCTGACCTCCCCCATCAGTCCTAAGGTTACATACTTCTCGTTTGAGAAGCATCGTCAGGTTGTGATGGAACAAGCAGCCAAAATGGAACAGCAGTGTAAGGGTTGTTGAGGTGTGTCACTAGCTGCTGCAGAGGTTATTAATCAATGCATAGAGACTGCTGGGGTAGCCGCATTGTGGATACCGTATGGTAATTTAAGGGGTGACACCCTATATATAATTGACTTTACAGTAACTACAGACAGAGTCAATGCATCATTCCATCCCACACTACATACAGATAGCAACAAAAGACCTCAGGGCAACTCTTTACACATCTGCAGGCTTCAAACAGAAGCAGAACCTCAGAGCTCTGTCAAGCCTCCCTGTACCCTCTCGTTTCCCATCACACACGCCTTCGGCATTTGCCTGAACAAGCACAGCCCGCTGGCTGCATTCCACTCGTTGAATCTCCCCCTCCAACGATCATGAGCCCTTTCTGAAGCCGCTTCACAAATTTTGGGAACACACATTGAGATCAATTCCCGTCCCGAGGAATGGACACAGGCTTAGTGAGGGGAGTACTTCCAGTGACAGTGCAGGTCCCCTGCCACATCGTTTTCCCCATGCAACAGGGCACGAGGGCGACTCCGCGCCTTCTTCTAAGCTGCACTTGAAAACTTCAGTCTTTCATTTCCTTCACTTACAAACGTCCGCAAGCTCCTCAATTCACTGAGTCCGCGATACTCTGAAATTTAATCCACATCAGCCAGTCTCGGTTGCCAGCATGAGCGAAATTCCGGACACTCGCCTGGTTCTTAAAACATCCACGTCAGACGAGCGGCGAGGAGATACTTTGGCAAAGGGAGATTCTGCGCCGCTGTTGACTGGGGGACTCTGGACATAGAAATTGACGTGTGACGGAAATTGCTGTGCGGCTTCAGACGAAGACCTGAAAAAGTCACGCTTTAGATGAGGGAGTGTTGCGTTAGTCCTGGTTACGACGCTACGCGATGATTCTGACGCTGATTTTCTCCACATAGCTGCAGTGCTGCCGGTTCGAGCTTGTAATTCGGTTGACTCACGGTTATCGCTGGCGCAATGAGTCGCGAGCGAAACGGAGGAGGAAGGCGTTCGCATATCAGCGATAGGCCACGCTCCACCGTGGGACGCTAAGTAGCGTGCAAGCATCATAGTCTCGTCCACTTCGTCTATGAAAGACATGATTTCCTCGTTTTCAGAAGCTAAGTTAATAAGCCACTAAAATTTGCCTAGTTTTATGTAAGGCATCTTGTTCTTCCAGTAAACTCCAAATAAACGAGAAAGAGACCCGACGAAACGACTGTTCTACGATGCCATGGCCGACCAACCGACGACGGTGCTTGATGGACCGGATGTGAGGTGGTCATTTTAGTCGACTCGACACGCAAGCACTCAAGCAGCTAGCCAAGAAACGAAACGCTCGAGAGACGAGGTCCACAGAAATCGCTTCACCATCCTATCCACCTGTAAAAACGGCTGGGTGATGGAGCTTCGATTCAGGTAGAGAGTTGATCAATTTATATGAACACTCTTTATGTCCTTCAATGCTAGGGACCTCCATAATAGGCTTGAGGGTGTGTCCTTGGAGCGCTACCTAGAGACTGCACAGAAAATACAGGTCCGCCCTAAGCTGAAGATCTTCAACGTAGTATAATAAAGTCATTCTTGTCACGTGGAAATCACTCAAAACACAAAGGAAGTCCACCATATGGGGGATTTGACTAATTGGGTGGGATGAAACGTGAGGTGAGCTGGAATTTTCCTGCTCTGTTTCCACCACATGCTAGAACCCCGCCCTAGCGACCGAGGGGTCCTTCCTGCCCCATTGTCCAGACTTTCGGACAAAATCCGCTGGAGGGGGCTTCTGTCTTCCTGAACTATTTGGGGGTTCTCTCCGATACACCTAGTCCGCGGTATTTTAACCGCCGCTATCTTAACCACGCGAGGGTACTTCTCCTTTATCAAACTTATTTAGTCGGGTTGTTTCGAACTTTACGAGGGTAGAATCTAGCATTCCCTTCGCGAGATGACAGCAGAAAAAACTCAGTGATGCCGAGTGTGACAAATGTCAGTCCGTCTATCTTGGAGCACTAAGTGTGAGTTCCTTAGAAGGAAGTGCTTTCGGCTGCAGAATCGTAGCCTCGATGACTCCGGGTGCTAATAACATTACCCAGAACGAACAATGGGGGTTTGAAAGAACAAAGTTCACCTGGTTAAAATACCGCGGACTAGGTGTAGGGCAGTTCTGTATTCCAGGCGTACAGTACAGATCAAACTGAACACGAAAAATCATTCCAGGGGTACAAACACGTCGGTCGTTTTTGGCTGGAGCACTCGCGACAGAAACAGTCAGGCACCTGCCAATGCCAACTCGATAGTTACTGTACAGGTGCAATACTGTAGAGCACAAGGGAAGACCGGAGACTCGGATCGGAGCAAGAAGAACGGAGAGAAGAAAGGAGGGCGGGGGGGGGGGGGGGGGGGGGGGGGGGGGAAGGGGGGTGGAGGGGAGTGCCTTCGATTGCACCAACCCGCCTGTACAAGATCCACCATCCTCCGTAAGATGCGGAACCACAGTGCTAGAATCTAGATACTGTACAGTATCGCCGTATGTACAGTGTATCATTCTCCAAGGAACACTTCTGGCATCCTCCCATCCCATCCACCCCCCACAACCCCTCGCTTTCCCCTCACCCTCCCTCCCTCGTTCTCCCCCCCCCCCCCCACGACCGCGCGAGAGGAAAGGACGTCCGTGAGTGGTAGAGATGGGTGCTCTGGTCTGTCGGCCTCGTCAAGGACAAACACGGCGGTGGCTTTGGCAGGAGCATTCGTGCGACCAATCCAAAAACCGCCAAAGAAACAGTCAGCCATCCCATTGGTTGCCAATGCAACAATCACGGCAACACAGCGAGGCGGAGGGTAACTACGCGGGAAAGCCGCTCCAGTGCACTGGAGCCAGGGCGCGCGGGGGAAAGGGAGGAGAGAAGACAGGGGAAAGGGAGGGGGGCGGTCGGGAAGACGGGGTGGGGGGGAAGGGGGAGAGAGAGATGGGGGGGGGGGGGGGAAGGGGGGGAGGGGGGGGGAGGAGGAAATTTGAGGCGCCTCACATGAAGGATATGCGCCGCGGCTGCATTCTTTCAATCCCTATCATCCGTTCGCGCCTTGCGCCCAAGATCCGCCTCTCAACCGCAGGATCCTCACCGCGAGGATATAAGAGCGTGTCCGAAGTGAAGCGTCGAATGGATGTAGATGGATGTCGGTAAATGTCAACCCTCGGATTGAGATTTCCAACCGTCAGGATTTACCGACATCGGATGTCAACGGATGTCGACTTCACTTCGGACCCGCCCTAAAGAATCTAAAATTCCTCCGCCGATCTATACACCACCTCTCCGTCCGAACGCTCCGCTGCGCCCTCTCTCTCAATCCAACCCAAGCTGATAGCACAAGCTCACCGCCTTTTCCTCTTCCACCCTCCCAACCCCCTTTCCCGGCTGGCGCTACTCCCTCTGGTCGCTGGAATGAGGCGCATTGTTGTAACTCAGCACCCTTCCATTCCACGTGAGTCGGACTGTGTGATACTGTAATAGAGCTCCATTCCATTCTTGCAATGTCAGCCGTGTGCAACTTCGGAGTTCTTGAGCCTTATTTCCGCGATTGTAGTAGCAGGTTTAGACCAAGTCAGAGGAAACCACATCGACCTCCATGACTCCGGCGTCATCGTCAACAGCATCTTCGTCGTCCTCAGCGCCTCCCCGCGGTCCGCCGCTGCCGGTTCCGCCGCTCACGTCGCCCTCGCATTATCAGTCGCTGCGGCAGGCGACGCCTGATGCGGCGTCCATTGTCGCAAGCTGCGACTCCGCCGGCGCGTGGGAGCCCGACGAGTCGGATCTCGACATCGTCATGTCGCTTGACTCGCTTGACCCGCTTGACCCGCTTGACTCGCCGTTCACGTCCACCAGATCAGGTGTTATTCACCCAGTTGACCCTGTTGACTCCAACCGGCGCCGGACTCAAAGGCCCTTGACGCCAAACTGTTTCGGCCCAAATACTCAGTCAGTGCTTGACAGTCACGTGCATGTCTGTAGCACAGCCGACAAACCTAATAGCACCGCTACGCGCCGATTTGCGGCGACAAGAAGTACATGGCATTGGTGCGCGTCAACGCCGCAGAGGGGAGGGACGAGCGGAACAACGAACGGAGCGGCAAAGGCCGCGGCGACAGGCGTTTTTGAGGATTATCAAAGGCTGCTGCATGCGGGTGTTTCTGAAGAATCTCTAAGCCTGCTGCGTGCATTCCTTCTCCCTGCCCCAAACCCGAAACGCGCCTTTGTGTCGACAGCGGTCCCATACTACTACCCATCGCCGTTGGAGAGGCGGGCCTCTGGCAAGTTGTTCGAAAATGGAACAGCCTATATGAGGTCCCAAGTGGACTTCTCGCTGTCAGCGTCGTTCGCAGCCATTAGTACTAGTGGCGGAAGCACAAAAGAACACTTGCTGATAACGACGGCGAAAGACACGAACACGACAGCGGACGTCGTCGAGACGGAAATGACACGCGGCGAAGCTGTAGCGAACCCTAATGCCAGCAGCGGCGACGCAAATACTCATGGCCCGCAGCAAATCCTCGACTTGCGGAGCGGTATGGGGGAGTCTCGCTCCGAGATAACTCAGCGCACACCGCAGCTAACGGAAGTGCTGGAGGAGGGCGCACACGACGGGTTCTCGAATCGCAGGGAAACGAGCGATGGTGGTGGACATTTGGCGGCGACTGGAGAAGAATGCAAGGGAGTGCTGAGGAGGAAAAGGAGACGGGAAAGTGAAGCATGGGTTGAGGGTTCTGGTTAGGGCGCGTGTGGTCTTACAAATTTGTGAAAGTTTATGTTTTTAGGTCGAATGTAGCATTTGAACAAAACTCGACTTTCTTTCCAGCGAAGTTCGAATCTTGGGTCTCCAACACAGACGAGTCACAATCACACACCCAAGGTCGAACACAGAGATTAGACCTTTTAGGGATGGCGGCGAGCCGCCCGTAGGGGAGTAGGTTACCTGGTACAGCGCGACACGTTAACGTAATGCGCAACGAAACTCAACGACCTTCGCAAAGCGGTCGCGATTATCGGATGACCTTCGTACGTGCTGAAAACAACACACACTCGCCTCACGTGCACCCGCACGTTCACTCGAACTTATGTGCCCCAGAATTCTCATGCCTTCGCCAAAGCTTCCTGACGACATTAGCGAAGCTGGTAACCACACTAAGTTCGACCTTTTTACCGAACTTTAAAATAGATCACACGCGCCCTTAGCGTTTCATCCACCGAATCCGCATTGCGGATAATATCGAATAAAGATATACATTGAATCTTCCTCTGCATGTATAGGCTTACTAATGAGTGCAATTTCTTGCAATAACTATTTCACCAGCTGTATGTTCTGAAGTTTTTTACCAGTATCAATCACAGCCATAAGGCCTTCCATTGAGGATTGTTCATACTTGGCCAAGTGCAAACCAGTCACCATGCAATCTGCAAATGGTACAGCTGTTTGAAAAGGAAAGCAACGGGCCGTACTGCTGAACAATGAGCACGCATAGAATTGCACCTAGTACAGTACTATAATAAGCAAGGAATACAAACTTCTTGTGGTGCAACAACATTCCAGTTGCAGACTTGCAGTGCTCCCAAGCTAGCATATGCAATCACTCATGCACTGCTGTAATACACGCATGTGCTGCGCGTGGTTGTGCTTTCTGAGTAGCATCGCTGTCATGAGCATGACGACTCTAATAACAGGTCAAGCAGGGATGATTGCGATTATCGTTTCCCACACCACTCACCGCACGCTGCTGCAAACCCTGACTTAATCTGGCCTCTCCAGCAGTAGTGACAGCACCAGCTGGGGATGCAGCAGGCATCGCCCCAGCACCACGGGAATGCTGACCTGGAATCACCCACATCTCGCCAGCTGGCTGGCTCTGGCCACGCCACGTCATCCAGTTTCGAGGCCCAGCAGAAGAGATCGGAGCGAGGTGAGCATGTTGGGGAGGTGTCGGGTAGGGATGGAGCGAGGAAGGAAGGGAGGGGTTTTGGTGACGAGTGTAGGAGCAGGCATCTGGAGGAGAGCAGCAGGGTAGGAAGCAGGCAGTGAATGGAAACATGGCAGGGTGATGATGGGCGTGTGGGGACTGGCGGAATGAAGGATGGGTCAGTGACGGCTGCACCAAGTGCAGGAAGGAGGGAGGCACGGCTGCAGGAAAAGCTGCTCGAGATGACTGAGATTGGCTGGTGTAAGGGGGGTGAGGGAGAGCAGCAGGAGGCGGTGTTGGAGGAGGAGCAAGGGGAGGAGGGTGCAACGAGCTGGTTGCGTGAGCGTGTGGTGTGGATGAAGTTTGCGGAATAGAGGTGGGGGTAGCAGAGGAGCAGAAAGAGGCAGTGAGGGAGGTGGCGGAGTGGGAGTGCACGAGGAGCGTCGAGGCTGCATGCGAGTGGGATGGCACGTGCGAGTGGGATGGAGCTTGTGAGGCTGAGGCTGCTGGGTGGGTGGAGTGCGAAGAGGAAGGGGACGTTGCGGGGAAAGAGTGGGTGGAGGTGGGGGTCGGGGGTGCCATGAAGAGCAGCTTGGCAATCACACGGTCCACAGCGTTGGAGTCAGGAACATGGGTGTTGGAGTGGGCTTGTGAAGCGACTTGCTGCTGCTGCTGCTGCTGCCCGGGTTCTTGTTTCTCCTGCTGCTGTTGCTGTGCCTGCAGTTTATGCTGCTGTTGTTGCTTTCCACTGGCAGTGACGGGGGTGACAGGGGAGGCAGCATCTGCAGTGGCGGTGGGATTCAAAGCCGCCTGGCCTGTTTGAGCGGTGCGGCTTGGTGTATTGGTGGATGCAGGGTCAGCAGCTTCGCCAGCAGAAGGTGCAGTAGAAACACAGGTTGATCTCGCCGCATCCGCAGCAGCAGCAGCAGCAGCAGCAGTGTTCGAAGCATTACCATCGGTAGCAGAACATTCGCGCACAGAAGCAGCAGGTGAAGCAGGAACAGAGGTGGTGCCGGTGGCGGCAGATTGTGACATGGCACGGGATTGAGCGCTGGTGGCAAGGCGGAGGAGGGCACTGCGAATGCAATCACGGGTGGTGACGTCGAGCTGGAAGGAGCGAGCAACGTAGGGAGAGGGGCACAAAAACAAGAGAGGCACAACATGAGGAGAGGCGCGACGAGAGTCTCATGGATTGAAGTTACAACGAAATGCAAACAGCAAGAAGAGTAAAGGGATGCAGCTTTGCTACAAATGAAGGAAACGGACCAGCAACACTTCGCGATACTGGAAAAAGGAAAACAGAGTAAGGTGCAAGCAAGCACCAAAGGAGAGAGTGAGAGGGTGGCCTCACCTGAGCAATGGTAGAATAGAGCTGGCCCAAGGCGGCAGACTCGACTTCCATGCCTTCTTCCCCGCACTCCATCGAACCAGCTCTCTCGTTAACTGCTGGCCCAGCTCCTCCTGCCGACCGTCTTGCTGACTCTCTTGCTGCTGCATCCGTGGAGGAAGCGGCATGCTGCAGTGAGGGCTCCTTGGCCTGACACCCATCCTGCTGCTCCGCTTTCACTGCTGCCTCTGCCATGAAAGCATCCCCTGCCTTGGCTTCTCCCTCGGGCTCGGTCCTAACAGTCTCCTCTGCTGTCCTGAGACGTTTGCTTCGCCCCTGTCCAACTGCGTCCGTTCCACCCACCTCCACCATCTCCTGCTGTGCCTCACGGGCCCTCTTCTTCCCCTCGTTACAGTCACGTCCTATCTGGTTTTCACTGAAGTCCGTTGCTGCAGGTGCGGCTGCAGGTGGGGAAGGAGCGAGTGAGGCGTCGGCCTGGACAGGACGAGCAGATTCACCAGGGTTTGAAGATGCGCGTGCAGTGGTGGCAACAGGTGCAGACAGTGCGGCTGTATCACCTGTTGCACCAGCAACAGCGGCAGCTGGCGTGCAAGGGCGGCTATCGCCGCTGCGGGTCGTGTCGTCCCCACCTGCTTCTTGCTTCGCGCGTACAACAGGTTGTGGGTTTGTCTCGCCCGTCCTGTGCATGTTCAATGGCTTCTCCTGCTGCTCTGCTTTCAGCACCTCGTTCTGCTTCTCCCGCTGCTTATCCTGCTGCTGCTGCTGCTGCTGCTGCCTCTGTTGCTGCATGCGCATCAGCTGCTGCTGCCGGTGAAACAGGTACATCTGCCGACCCAGCAGTTGCTGCTCCTGCTGAGAGCTAGTCCCCTGTTGGGCCTGACGCACCCACATCTGCTTGCTCATCCACCCATCAGCGAGCTGGGCACCTTTCGCGCTTCCAGCTGCCCCTGCGGATCCTCGCACTCCTCCCATGGGAGGAAATGCTGCTGCCGCCACGGCAGCAGCAGTAGCAGTAGCAGCAGAAGCAGGAGCACGAGAAGACGCAGCAGTTACTGTTGGAGCTGATGCTGCTGATGCATGCGCAGCAGCTGATGCAGTGGAGTGCAGCCGGGATTGGTAGAAGAATGGAGGAGGGTATGGTTGACCCATGCTGCCACCTGGGAAGAACGCGGGTGCCGGCATGGTGGTACCAGGGAAGGGCATGAGAGTGCGAGCAGGCATGTGAGGAGGCACAGGCCCAACGGCAGCCATACGAACAGCATTCCCTGTAGACGCGACTGTGTTTGCGCTGATAGGTGCGCTGATGGGTGCATTGCTGGGTGGATTCACCGCAGCAGATGCAGCGACTCGACTGGGCGTTGATACCTTCGCTGATGCGCCTGCAGCACCAGCACCCGCTGCCTCGCCAGCAGGGCTACTAGCAGCACCAGAGGTACCAGCGGCGGCAGCACTGCTAGCAGAGGCCGCGGCACCAGCAGCGCCAGCTAAGAAGCTCGCGGGCATGGGGGGAAGGGGAAGCGCGGCTGCGGGATAGGCCTGGTGGTAGTTGGGGAAGAAGGGCAGGCGCGGATAGGGCGGCAGCCCGCGCTGCGCGGATGGCGCAGGCGCGAGCGGGGGCGCAGGGAAAGGAGAGGGGCTAGGCGGGAATGAGAGGCCCGGTTGTGAGGGGTACGGGACGGTGCGATGGGTGGGAGGGGCGGGAGGGAAGGCGCAGGGATGGGAGGGCAACGGGGACGAGGTGACGGCGGGAGCAGCGGGGGAGAAGGCGGGTGACGAGGGGAGGCGGCGGAACGGTGACGGCCGGATGCTTCGAGCGGGAGTGCCAGAGGAATTGGGAGGAGTGGGGGTGCAGCGGGCAGGAGTGGGGTTGGTCCGCGGAGGGGTGGCGTTGGAGCGGGGAGGAGTGGTTATCTTGGTGGTACGCGTGGCTGTGGTGGCGGTGGCAGAAGTGGTAGCTGTAACGGCGGCAGTAGACGATGCGGCGAGAGCGGGACGGGAGGATGTGGGAACAGTGCGAGTACAGGAGGACGATGCAGGGCTCGTACCCTGCTGTTGTTCTTGCTGCTGATGCTGCTCCTGTTTATCTTGCTGTCGTGGCTGCTGCTGTTGCTGCTGCTGTACCCGCTGCATCTGCATATGCTGGATCTCCAATTTCGACCGTGTCACAGCATCCCGCGTGGCCTGCACATTCCACAAAATTACCCGTCAGTTCGATTAATACAAGGTTATGCGTCAACGTCAGTCACGTAACGCGAGCGGGTGAGTAAGCCCACAACGTCGGAACCCTTATCAAACTCACCTGCAGAAGCGACAGGCGTTGCGGAATGCTGACGCGCGAAGGTGACGGCGACCGAAGCAAAGAATCGCAAAGCCCTCCCGCATTCGCACAATGAATGTCAGCACCGAGGGGAGCCTCCACGACGCTAAGCTTCTCAACCGTGTCGCGAGCCCTCTCCGTGCCACCTCCCTCCGTCGCCTCCGCAACAGCCGTGGCTGGAACCGTTGCACATTTCGCGTTTGCGCCGTCGCCTTCGCCTCGTCGCTCAGATTCGCATACCCCGCGTCGACGCGCGGCTTCGAATTCGCCAGCCGGGCCTTCCCAGAGCAACTTCCCCGCGTCCGCCGTTCCGGGTGAGGCCGCGGAAGCGTGAATGTGGGAGAGAATTCCGGCGATGGAAGACTGCACGTGATGCTGGCCTGTCGCAGAACCGGATTGGGCGTGCCTCGCGGTCTGGTACGACGATCTGACGCGGCGCGAGAAGAGCAGGTGAAACGGTGGAAGAGGATAGAAGTGAGTGACATGTCTCACTTCGTCCTTTGCAATGGAAAAGCAGGAAAATTAAGAGCGGGATGCGGCGCAATGTTGGCAGAAATGAGGAGCGGCGAGACAAAGAAACCGTGTCACACGCACCTGAGAATTGCCTCGAGATTGCCGGTGTGGTCGCACGCATCCCACGACGCACCCAGAACGTCGTCTCCCTCCAAAAGGTCGCCATCCATGTCGCCTTCCATGTCGCCGTCGCACGGGCCAGCCAGATGGTCGCCGTCAGTCGCAACATTTCCACCAATCACGTCGTTCAGCTCCATAATCGTGAAAGCATCTTCCGTGCATTGCGGAGCTCCCGTGAGACCGCATTCGTCGATTTCTTGAGGGAGCTGATCGCGAGATTGAGTAAAACCCGTGGCTCTAGAGGCAGACGCATTGTTCGGGGTACCGGGAAGAAAAACTTCAGATTTTCCGCTTTCAGTCGGCGACGTGCTGAAGGTGGGATTTTGCGGACGCGGAAACGCATTATCGTTGGATGGTCTAGGCGTTTTCTGCTCGTGTCTCTCCGAATGCGTTGTCTGAGCAGACGTCCCGTGTACATCGTCGTGCAGAGCGACCGGCTCCTCCGCACCGAATGCCTCCCACACTCGGTCATCGAACTGCGGGATGATTAAGGAGGAAAGGAACGAATGCAGTTGTCAACACGAGTACCGACATATAGGCTGAGATTTTCCCATAAATTCGAAAAGAGAATTTGTATGAGGCGGCAGAACAAAGAAAATATGAATGCGGCTACGTTCCGGTCCTCGCAGAAGCTACATATCGCCGAATTTCAAATTAAACTGTCAAGAACAAGTTCCTTCAAGTTGAAGACCGCAAGGAATACTCACAGAACGGAAAGGTGATGAATATGCGAGGGACATGGCTCGAATATAACTATAAGTTGTTCTCACCAAGGGGATTCCTTGAATTGTTACGTCTCCTTCATCTGACGGCCAGATTGGCGTGGCCATGGTTTTCTCTGAAGTTCCTTCAGTGCAAAACCTGTGAGCAAATCTGCTCAGAACGAAAGAATCAGAAGCGAGTTCTTTGCGGAATCAAATTGGCTACAATGTGAGGGTAAAAACGGCCAGTCAAGAATAGCTGTGGACTAGTGTCACGGAAAGCGAGGAAGTGAATGACTAATGCAATTTGTTTGAGCTCTTGAGACACAACCCCAGAGGATCTCCAACAAATCACCTGGCTTGAGCGCTTCTTTATGGCTACATCAGAAGGTCCTCCAACATGGAGCATGATTGTGGAACGCTGGCGACAGCAATTCGCGCATAAGCACCGCATGCGAAGCATTGCGAAAACAGCTTCCGTGAGCACGAAGGCAGTCGCGAAACCCTTGCGATTAATTCATAGCAGGGGCATATGATGACAGGGGCTGGAGAAAGTGCGGAAAATCAGATCGAAGTCTACACAGATAGTTGCCCAATTTATAACAATTTTACAGGCTGCACCAGGATTCGTACCCTGGTCGTGATGGATCCGCGACGTTCTTACATAATCCCCGCTCAACTTATCACATTCTTAACCAGAAATGCCGTCCGTAAGATTAACATCTTAGAGCCATATATATAAAACTTGCAGTTAAGCTGTCCGGATCTGAAAAGTGTTCGGACTGAGCTCGGACACTGACGTATTGGGTTTTGAAGCAAGCCGCGTATTCCGAGACCCCCAAAATAATGGGACATGCCGAGTACACCCTCAATCCTTGTTGTGATTGTTTGGCAGTGCTTTGCTGTGAACATCTTTTTTTTTTTCCGCTGGTCAGCGTCAGTTGGTTTGACCATCTCGATACTGTACCGAAATCTGCCTCTCCTGTAAACAATCTTCCAACAAGATCGGAAACAACAAGCTGTCCCAACATTGCTTGACCGCACAGACGTCAAGCTGTACACCCTGTTTCTCACTACACTGAACTGTGCTGAACTGATGGAAAACCTAGTTACCTTCGATTTGTCTGATTGAACCATACCTAGACTTAATCTAACCACCGTTAACCGTGCTTTTCCCATCTTGACTTCACTATAACCGAATTCACCATGGCGAGAAAGAGGGTGTATTGTTTTGTAGAGTTGACGTCGAAGGAGGCTGATTTCCAGCGGGAGTTGAACTGCTCATTGCACGTTGTTTTTTTAATGGGGCAGTCCCCACGTGACCGTGCATGTTTCAATGATTGTGTGGAAGGCTCGGAATAGATTCTCGTGGGCTTGATTTGGGGAAAGCGAAAGAATAGAACCGACGAAACCAAATACCAAATTGCACTGGGCCGCAATCTCGGTAAGGTTTTTATCGAATCATAAGGTGGGACGTACGTGCACTGCTGAAGGGCAGAATTGTGAACCGAGCTGCCAGCAAGGCAGGACTGCTCACGTGCCTGTTGCCACCTTCACGGCCAGCTGGAACCAAGGACAGCCAACACAAACGAGAAGTGGCAGAGCAGAATGAGGGGCAGATCCCTCGCCATGGGATGGGATGGGATGGGATGGGTAATGGGTGGGTGGGAGGGATGGGGTCATGGGACAGCCCTCCCCCACACCCCCTCCTCCCCCACGCCTTTTGCAGTCCCTCCGCCCCCTCCCTCCCTCATCCCCTCTCCCCCTTCTCATCACCTTTCCGCCACTCACCTTCGCCAGCAGCCGTCAGAATAGCTTCGGAAGTACTGTAGAAGTACATTGCTTTATTGCCAGAAGACCATGCAGTCCCACCGAGCCAGACCCCCCCTTCCGAACACCATCCGTCCATCATGCAGTCATCAGGAGGAGCACGAGAGGAGCAGGAAAAGAGCTCTTAGTCTGAGAAGAAGCGACGCCGTGGTCCGTGCACTGGTTGTCCAGTTGCTCTGCTTCTGACCATCTGCTCGGTTCGTGAATCACGCGGAAAGGCAGTCCAGTTTTTCTGTGCTCTTCGAAGCAGCAGCATTGCGAAAGCACACTGTACAGTAAGTGTTCAAGTTCAAGGAGATTCTGGGATTTTGCTCTTTGACAGCTGCTTGACGGCTGACACGAACACAGTCACTGTTTATATTAAACTCACGTCCTTTTTGTACCATATATGATGGGCCGTCATGTACAGCATGGTCTCCCAGCTCCTTCGCGAAGCGCGCCGGAAGGAGAAACTCACGAACGAGGAAATGTCCTAGAAATCTGGGAAGTGATTGCTCAGGGGTGGTGCAGCTGCACGAGACCTGGAAGGAGACTTTCTTCTGTTCCAAAAACTACGCATACGCTGACGGTCACACGATTGTCTTCTACTGGACTCTTCCACTCTCTCGAAGCTCTCAAACAGAACCGATTTTGCACGATAGGCTTGATATTCCTCCTCCACATTCTTGTCTTCGTCTCCGTGGACTCGGTTTCGCATATGTAACCTTTTCCTTTGATTCGGGGTGGTTTCTCAGCATTACTTCTCGACACGTTCTCAAAAGCTCAAATATTCGCTAGAACATTTGTTCAGGCCTTGGACTTCGCCAGAAACCTCTTCGTTTGGCTCACCCAAGGTAGGCTGACCAGGACCCAAAAACGAGCTGTTTCGCCATTCCACTTCTAAAGAACGGCTATTTCTCCTGAAGTTTCGGGTTGACTGGACGGCCGAAGTGTTTCGCACTGCCTGATCCTCTCGTAGAAGGCACTGTTTTGCCTTGCACGCACGGAAATAGTCCAACTCAGATCCGCGTTGTTTTTAATCGCATATTGTAGAACGAAGTAAGGGACATTCCACGCGGCACTTGTCACTAGGAGAGAGAGCGGCTATGAGCACTGGACAGAATGTCGGCGATGGGAGAACCTGTCCAAGGGGTACCCGTCCCTCCAGGTCGAGTTGCCTGAGACAGTAGGCAGGTAACTTATATAACATCCGTTACTTGGGCGACTATACAGGACGCAGAACCGTTTATCTATGGACATCACACTGCATCTCGTGACGTGACATCGATGCGGCAAGCAGAATGGCAAGGACAAGGCGGCAACTTAGCAAGTAGTTCTCACGCAATTCCTCTTGTGTAAGGCTTGTTGGAATGAGCCAGTACGGTAAAAACGATCTCACAAAAAATAACGGAGCAGAAACAGTTTTACCGAAAAGAAAGGAGCAGCGCCACAGAAGTCCAAGCTACCTTGCACCATAAGTAAGGTGAAACGTTGCTGGCAGGGAAGTAGCAGCCTTAGTAGGCTAGGAAAAAGAGGATAGAGTGATCTCTGGAGTTCTCTGGAAATTGCACTATGACTTCACAAATTTCACAGTACAATTTTATAGAGCACATTCAAACATCGAGTCGCACTCCCAAGTCGCGACTCTCTCTGAATGTAAGGAATTTTCCTGAATTCCTTATCGGGGTTGACTGCTTCGCGTACAACCCGATTTTCGGAGTTCGCACGCTCGGCCGATTTCAACGCTGCCAAGCTCCTCGCGTCGCCTTCGGCATTTCCATCGCCAAACCTGCACCCGACCTCGCTTGTTCGAGGTTTCCTCCTAGCTAGGCTAGCCCTACATTAGACTGTGCGTTCATTGTTTTCGCAGTTCATTCAGTCACAGCCTCGTTATTCGTTTACCTGCGCACTCTCTTTTACAACTCATAACACCTGGTTGGTTTGGTGGCACGGGTGTGGTTGGTTTAGTGACTACACGACGGTTGGTTGCAGGGATTGTTAATTCAATCCTGCCCGACTCTGATAGTTCGTGTTTTCACTTGCCGGGAGGCCACGGGTACCCGACTGCCCACCAGACGTAGTGCTAGGCACATGGATCAGGAGGCTGTCAACCGGCTGATGGCGCAAGTGGCGGAAATGAAGCAGGGCATGGAATCATTAATGGCGGAAGTGACAACGTTACGGGAGGAAAACGCCGAGCTACGTCAGACGCGAGGTGAAGCGCGTCAGGAGTCGCCTGTGGATGAAGGCGAGGGCAACAGTCAAGCGATGAGCAATCCGCTAGATGCGCTCACACGCATGAAGCTGCGTGCATGGTCGCAGATGGCTTCTGTCCAACACTACACAGCGTCATTTATGGGCTTCGCCGACCAAATTGACGACATGTCGGAAGCAGAGCGGTTGGATAAGTACGTCAGCGGCCTTAAATATGAAATACAGTTTGAGGTCCGCAGAAGCCGCCCGACATCGTTCCTCGAAGCAGTACGAGTGGCAGAGTCAACTGATGCGCTGATGTAGTACGCGAGAGCAGCTTCCAGGGATGGGAGAAGCTTTCGTGGCCAGACCCATCGGGCCACGATCAACGCCGTCCATACACCCGACCGCCCTCCTAAGGGTCAGTGTTTTCG